GTTTACACTTAAGACTCAAAGACCCCTATATTTCCTGTTCCCCGGTTTGGGCGGACAATGGGTTGGAATGGCTAAGGCTTTGATGCCAATCAAGATATTCGCCGATAAGATCGATGAATGCCATGAAGTACTCAAACCCCACGACATAGACTTAAAACAGCTCTTATTATCTGATGACAAGAATTCAATGTCTAATATGACAAATAAATTCTGTGCCACAACTGCTATAGAAATAGCATTATGTGATGTTATCCTCGCTCTCGGTATTACTCCCGACGGTATTATTGGTCACTCTTTCGGCGAAATAGCGGCCGCTTATGCCGACGGATGTCTTGACACACGGGAAGCGATGTTAGTTACCTATTATAGAGGACTTGTGACCGAAAGTGACAAAAAGATACCGAAAGGACTGATGGCTGTCGCGGGTCTGTCTTGGAATGAGGCCAAGAAGTTGTGTCCAAAAGGAGTGAGTCCTGTCTGTAATAACGGAAAGGACACAGTCGTCGTCTCAGGTAATTATTACATAATATTTATTACAAATACAAATATTTAATTAAATGTCTATTTATTCAAAGGTTTATACAATGAAGTGAAACAAATGATCGAAGACTTGACCCAAAAGGGAATATTTGTTCGCGAACTCCAAAGCAATGATATCCCATATCATAGCGAATATCTCATTACATCCGCGAAGAAACTCACGGAAGAACTCAAGAAAGTGGTTCTCAATCCTAAACCCCGGTCTAAGAAATGGATCTCAACAGCGATTATTGAATCCGATCCGGACGATGAACTGAAGACCGCATCGGCCGAGTATTTCGTCCATAATCTCGTATCTCCCGTTCATTTCTATAACAAATTCAAACACTTGCCATCGGATGCTCTCATCCTTGAGATCGGACCGCACGGGCTGTTCGGCAAAGTAGTGAAGGAAACACTAGAATCGGGTTCTTATGTGTCGCTCATTAAGAAAGACTCAAACGATACAAATCTTGAGATGTTTTTACAATCGATTGCAAAGTTGTATGAATTAGGACTCAATCCTCTAATTGAGAACCTATACCCTCGGGTCGAATGGCCGGTCGCCAGAAGTACTCAATCCATTAGTTCCCTATTGAAATGGGATCACGACATTAATTATGGTGTTCGCAAATACCCTGATTATTACTTTAGACCAAATTCTGCTGATTTGAATGAAGTCTATAATCCGACCCAAAATATTAAGGCCTTTATGCCCGAGCATTGCATTGACGGCAATGTCTTATATCCGGCCACCGGTTATCTGATGCNATTACTTTAGACCAAATTCTGCTGATTTGAATGAAGTCTATAATCCGACCCAAAATATTAAGGCCTTTATGCCCGAGCATTGCATTGACGGCAATGTCTTATATCCGGCCACCGGTTATCTGATGCTCGCTTGGAGACGAATGGCTGCACAACACGGAAGGCTATGGAACCAATTGCCGGCCATCTTCGAGGACGTCCAGTTCCGGAGACCCATATTCTTGTCCGAAACAGATATGACCAGAATTAAAGTGAAATATCACGAGACAACTGGTCATTATATAAAATATTACATTTTATACTTTATAACAAATAATTAAATATTTAATTTGAATTACAGGTGATTTCACAATCTTAGAGGCCGGTAACGTTACGTGTGTTGGAAGAGTCCGCACCAGTGATGAGTACGCTCTCAGTCTTCAACACCTCATCGAAGACGCGAATACAACACTCGCTAAAGACTTCGAAGTGAATCTGACCACAAATGATCTCTACAAAGACCTCAAAGTCTTGGGCTATGATTACGGACCGAAGTTTAGACGCATTCGTTCGGTGAAGACAAACAACTTTGAGACAATTCAGGGAGAGATCAGTTGGGATGGAAATTGGATCACTTTTATGGACTCATTGTTGCAGACAATGGCCGCTGCGATGCCCTTCAGGAAAATGATGGTTCCGGTGATGATTAAGAGTCTTCGCTGCGACCCAAAGGTTATGTACGAAGGAATCACCGCTAATAAAGTGGCGGAATCTAAAGAACACGAAGAAAAGGTGTCCGAAGATAAGATCGACGCCTATTTGGATACCGAAGGCAAGACGGATGAGGCGGAAGTCGAGGGCATTCTGTCCACCAATTCTGTCGAATATATCGAAGAGCTGTTCGGCAAAGAGTTCCACGTCTATGACTCTCTACTGCCATTCCATGTGGACATGAATTCACGAATGATTGTCACACATGGTATTGAGATCGAGGATCTGATGGCACTTCCCATTCCTCGCAAGACTAATGTCCAGGACTTGAAACTAGAATCGTATCAATTCGTGGCCAACGAAGAGACCATCGCTATCGACGAATTGGAGAAGAAATCAGTGAAAGAATATATTAAGGTATGATTTGTTATACCGTTTATTACATGACTAACACATGACTTCATATGATTGTTAGGTTTGTTCATCTCTTGCCGATAAAATCAAACAATTGATTGAAACAAAAGACAGTAAAGTGAACGCAAATATTACCGACGATTTGGTTAACAAATACTTAAATGATATGAAAGAAAATCAAATTTTGCTCAAAATCCTGAACGAAGTCTATAAGGGATGTATTGATGAGAACCAGAATATCGACACAAACAGACTTCTGGTCGACATTCAGGCGAAACCCGAATACGACTTATCGCGAGATCTTATAAATCAAGTCTCAAAGAACGAGCATTTGATTCGCTCTCTCGTCGATATCGTCAACGAATCACATGTGCCTAAAAAGGAGCTCAAAGTATTGGAAATCAATTTGACAAATGGATTGATGGCTAGAGAAGTGGACTCACAGTTGGCCGCATCTCATATCTATCCGATTGACGTGAGCTATACTATTGCTGTCAAATCAAAGGACACTCTCAGCGATGACTATAAGGATTTCAAGACAATTGAGTGGAATCCGAGCGATAGTACATTCCCGCAAGAAGTGACCATGGCCAATCTCATTATTATTAGGGATTCACATGACTTGTGGCAATTGGACACCGATAGCCAAATGCAAGATATCTATGATGTGGTCACCGATAAGGGATATCTGATGACAGTCTTTAGATACCAAATGACAGAACCAGAGCTCGCGTTGAATCAAATGAATGGCAAGAAAGCGCTTCAGAACTCAGACTTAGAGAAACGTATCGTTGATTTTGTAAAATCGGCACAAAGTGTAGGATTTAATATTATTGGTCGCAAATTAGACTCAATCGGATCCATGGCTTTGTTGTTTAAGAAGAACTTTTCTGAGCCTAAAGTACCGAAAAAAGAGAATATAATACAAATCTCTAGTAATCCCGAGAAATGGTTTGAGATCTTAAAAGAGAAAATTGTTGAACAGAAGGAAAAGGACTCATCGGATGAGACTCTTTGGCTCATTGCGAACGACTCCTCCAAGAATGGTATCATTGGTCTCATTAATTGTCTGCGTTTAGAGCCGGGAGGAGAGTGTCTGCGATGTGTCTTCGATTACGATAACCTCATCAAAGGTTCCGTGAAGTTCACTGAAAAGCCGTATTCAGACATTTTGTCCAACGATTTGCCTATAAATGTGCTGAAGAACGGAAAAGTCGGTACTTATAGACACTTCACTCTCAACAAAGAATACGACAAAATAGAGTCAAACGACTACTTCCTTAATGTCGGCCATAACAGAGACTTAGCATCTCTTCAATGGTATGACTCGAAGGGTTTGGCCACAAATAAAGACGATTACGATTTCATGAATACCAAAACCAACAAAATTGCGTGCAATATATATAGCGCTGGAATGAACTTCAGAGATGTTATGTTTGCCACAGGTTTGTCATTGAAGTAAATAAATATTAAATTTAAATAAATATTTTAAAATTGATTTATAGGTCGTATTGTTTCGGGACCACAAATGCTGTTCACTGATTGCTGTATTGGTTTTGAGTTCGCCGGCCGTCGGGCCGACACTGGAGAACGAGTTTGCGGTTTCGATATGAGTCGATGTTATGCCACTTCTATTGACGCCAACGAAGACTTTATCTCTAAAGTGCCCGACAACTGGTCGATGGACGACGCGGTGTCCATATTGTGTACTTACAGTACTGTATGGTATGGTCTCATAGAGAGGGCACACATGCAAAAAGGTTTGTTATTTTCTGAAATTATAATTATTTTTGTCAAAATTGAAATATAATTTTTATATTTATTATTAAAGGCGAATCAATTTTGATTCATTCTGCGGCCGGAGGTGTGGGTCAGGCGGCGATCAGTGTTTGTCAACACTATGGCTGCGATATATACGTTACGGTCGGAACCGAAGATAAGAAAAAGTTTTTGATGAATACCTATAATATTCCGGAGAACAGAATATTTAGTTCGAGAAACACTCAGTTTAAGTACAAAATCAAAGAGATTACGAAAGGAAAGGGAGTCGATATGGTTCTCAACTCTCTCACCGGCGATAAACTCGACGCCAGTTATGAATGCGTTGCCGATTGCGGCCGCTTTGTGGAGATCGGCAAATATGACCTCCAAATGAACAAACAGTTGGGAATGTTTGCCTTCTTGAGAGACATCTCTTTCATCGGTGTTTCAGTCGATCAGAAACTATATATGAAGAGAGGATTCACTAAACGCTTCTTTGATTGGATGCACGAGAACTCAAGCAATGGAATGATTAAACCAATCAATGCTAATGTCTTCAAAGCGGAAGAGGCGGAGAAGGCGTTCAGATTCATGACAACCGGTAAACACATCGGAAAAATTGTTATTCATCTTCGAGAGGAAGAAAACAATAAACACGCGAAGAGTGGATTCAATCCGACTAAAAAACTGATGGTCACTCGAAAGACATATTTCAATCCAAACAAGACTTATATCATAACCGGAGGTTTGGGTGGATTTGGTCTGGAGTTCATTCATTGGATGATGTTTATGGGCGCACGAAGATTTGTCTTAACCTCAAGACATGGCGTCAGAACTAATTACCAGAAGTTTATTTTGGATCGTTTGGAGTCATTGGGAGTAAAACTAAAACAGTATGAGACAAAAGTTGTCGTTTCGACTCACGATTGCAATACAACTGAAGGAACGAAACAACTCTTAGCCGACGCCCAGAAATTGGGTCCAATCGGAGGGGTCTTTCATTTGGCTCTTGTTCTCAATGACTGTCTTATTGAAAATCAAACGATCGATAAATTCCAGGAAACCATTGATTCAAAGACTAAAGCGTTTGAAAATTTGGATAAAATAAGTCGTGAATTGAGTATAGATTTGGACTATTTTGTTGTCTTCTCTTCTGTCGCTTGTGGTAAAGGAAACGCCGGGCAATCAAACTATGGTTTTGCGAACTCTGTTTGTGAACACATCTGCGAATTGAGGCGAAGAGATGGATTGCATGGTTTGGCCATTCAATGGGGACCTATCGGTGACGTCGGAGTACTGGCTGAATCTGAAATCAACACCTCTTTGGCAGCAGTTGTTAAGCAAAGAGTTAACTCATGTCTAGAAGTGATGGATAAATTGCTTCAATCCGATAATTCGATTGTTTCGTGTTTGGTATGAATTCTTAGATTGAATTTGCATTGAAATCATTATTAAATATTTTATTGTCATAATTAGGTGAGAGCCAAGAGATCAGTGATGACCGGAACTCGAGAATCAAAACTTGTGAATCAAGTCTGGATTGCGCTGGGAATTGATCCCAAGACTACTCCCAATCACTTAACTCTGGGAGAGATCGGTATTGAATCCATGTTTGCGGTTGAGTTACAGCAGGGATTGGAGAGGGAGTACGACATTAAGGTGTCTCTGAATGACATCAAGAATATCACAATAGGAATGATGAAAGACTTTGAGGCCGGAAAAGTGGACGAAATGAAGAAATTTGCGGATGAGATCAAGTTGTGTCGCACGAAGTTATGTAAAGTGAAGTTTGTTATTCCCAACGAAGCCTATACTCGACTTAATAACGTGACGACAGGAAAACCCCTGTATTTCTTGCCACCACTTGAGGGCATATTTGCCTCATTGGAAGGGTTGGCCGCAAAGGTTGACCGACCGGTCATTGGTCTCAATTGGGTTAAGGATATGGAGAAATTGGGTTCACTGAAAGACATCAGTCGATACTACACGCAACTGATGAAGGTGTTGGAGCCAAAGGGCGATTACGACATTTTGGGCCACTTTTACGGCGCTCTCATAGCGATGAAGATGTTGAAGAAGGCGCCGGTGGGCAGAGCCGTCATCATTGATATGTTATCGGAGGTGACCATCGAAGAGGAGATGATTACCGACGACTACATAATTGAGATCATTATAGCGCTCATCACCAAAGACTTACCGGCGGTAATGCGGGCGAAGATCAGGCGAGACATCTCCACCAAACCCGACGTGGAGTCAAAACTGGACAAAATGACTACAGAATTGAAGGAATTCTGCGGTAAAAGTCTTGTGAGCAAAGACTTGGATGAGATTCTCATGAATTCGTTCAGAAGAGCCAAACTCTTCACTACATATCGACTGAATATGAAAACCAAATACAAGAAAATGAAATACAATATCGCAGAGAAGTACATGAAAATGAACGCTAAGATACTGATCATCAAACCATTTGTTATGACCGAAGATTTCATCACCGAAGAGATGAGCGATAAGATAAAGACCGCGTATTTCCTTCCCGAACAGGTATTCAATGATTAATGAATAACTATTTACACAATAATCATAAAAATGCCTAAATATTAGTGTTTGTTTGAATGAAATGATGTTTAAACCCTTGTTTGTTGTGTTATAGGGTTTGGAGGGAAAGCTTAATTTCGAGACCATTGAGTCCAACGACGATGAATTGGAGGCCACGAAGACTATTGAGAAGTTCGCCGATTCTATAAACGCTTATTTGTCCAAAAAGTAGTGTTGCCATCATTTGCTAGAATTGCATACATTTAGCATCATATTTATGCTACTTATATACTTGTATCACATTTTATAATCAATTATATATTTTTGCATTTAATTTTTTTATACTGTTTTATCAATTTTATATTTTTTACTGTTTGTTGACTTTATAAATATATATTTTGTTATATTTTATATTTTTTATACTAAATAAATATATTCATGTATATTACAAGTAATTACAAAGTTTTATATTAAAAGTCTTTAAAATTCCCATTTAATGTATGTATTATTTAATTGCAAACAATATTTTAAAATGTATTTAAAGTTTATTATCATTGACTTTAGTTTGTACAACATTTTGTTCGGCCCTAACTTATATCACATGTAATGTCTTGTAATAACTATTGAATACCACATCAATAATCCAATGAATTCAATAGTATTTATTAATCGTTGACTTTTGAAGGACTTATAATCAATTAGAGTAAGATTTAATGATCAAAACAACGTCTGGTCCAAGTTTTTCAGTACTTATTGTATTAGTACTCAAATACTTGTATAATCTCCTAATTGCTATCATTAAACTCCAATCCATTACTCCTTTGTTTAAATTTTTAGTATTTTCTAGTCTTAAATATAAAAAACATTTAAACCATTAAATATACAGTAAAGTATCTTTACATACATGTATCTTATGCGGTATAATGAAAATATACTGTATTATACGGTTTACACGTGTCGATTAAATTGATTTTTCAAAATGATACAGGTATTGAAAATTTGTAATAATTACATTATTTTTGAAGTAATTGCAACTATAACTATGAAGTTTCATGATTTATATAATGTTTGATTTAAATTATGATCAATTTTAATGTCTTGCTTTTTTAGTTTGCTTCTAGGAATTTAGAAATTAAATTCTGAATAATATTTCAATTAAATAAAATTTGAATAACAATTCGCAATAATTTAGTTATTGATATCATATTTATATATAGATTATAAATTATGATTTATAAATTAAAATAAAATCATTTATGTGTAATATATTGCGTATTATAATCATTAGGTTTGAACATGTGATTATATTTAATGTTGTTTTTAACTTGATTTCTTACGAAAAATGTTATGTTTTTGTTTTGTTTTAATAAACTTTTATTTATATTACATATAAATCAATGCCATTTATAAAGATGTAGATTTCACTTCTATCTTATTCAATGAATTTTAAAATCTCTCTCTCTCTCTCTCTCTCTCTCTCTCTCTCTCGCTTTCTCTCT